GTAATATTCAATATGCATGCATAACGCATACGTATTGCTGTGTTTGTTTTCAAAGAACATAAATATTAAGATGGACCGACAACACATTTAGGCGATTTTTCTTCTTCTAACAATTAAAACGTACGTAATGTATGTTAATACAAATATGAATTACCACCAAATGTGATAGGTACATATATGATTTGTGTGTTGCGTTCATCTTTGAATAGATCAGGTTGTAGACACTGGTGATGGATTTCCTAGTCCACGTAGTTATCCATAACCTAGAGAGCCACAATAATATCTTTAATTATCAATTTGAAATTAACCAGTTCTCCTTTTATTTTGGAAAACCATATAATCGATGGGTTTATATACCTCCCCGCCTGTTTCAACCCTACTTTACCTTCCCTCCTGTTTCAACCCTAGTTTACCTCCCCTTCTATTTCAACCCTAGTTTACCTCCCCTTCTGTTTCAACCGTAGTTTACCTCCCCCTTCTATTTCAACCCTAGTTTACCTCCCCTTCTGTTTCAACCCTAGTTTACCTCCCCTTCTGGTTCAACCCTAGTTTACCTCCCCTTCTGTTACAACCCTAGTTTACCTCCCCTTCTATTTCAACCCTACTTTACCTCCCCTTCTGTTTCAACCCTACTTTACCTCCCCTTCTGTTTCAACCGTAGTTTACCTCCCCTTCTATTTCAACCCTAGTTTACCTCCCCTTCTATTTCAACCCTACTTTACCTCCCCTTCTGTTTCAACCCTAGTTTACCTCCCCTTCTGGTTCAACCTTAGTTTACCTCCCCTTCTGTTACAACCCTAGTTTACCTCCCCTTCTATTTCAACCCTAGTTTACCTCCCCTTCTGTTACAACCCTAGTTTCCCTCCCCTTCTGGTTCAACCCTAGTTTACGTCCCCTTCTGTTTCAACCTTAGTTTACCTCCGCTTCTGTTACAACCCTAGTTTACCTACCCTTCTATTTCAAACCTACATTATCTCCCCTTCTATTTCAACCCTACTTTACCTCCCCTTCTATTTCAACCCTAGTTTAGACAAATTTGGATTCCCAGCGTTTAATCACCGTTGAGTCCTAGCATGACAAATCAGCTGTATGGTACAGTGTGATTAACTGCTGGCTTACTGTACCTGTTATCAACTTTAATAGGTGTGCAATCACCGGTTTGTGTCTTACCTTCATCAATATATATGAAAATATATATGGATGAAATTCTCATCTACAAAAATTCTTTTCAAAGTTAGTGAATTACTTTCGGAAGATTGAGCTCTACTGTTATAGTTCAAAGTCTATGTAAACACAGACACCAGCTTATGTGTATTTCATATTATTACATCAGTAGCTGTGGTTACGGAATATCAGTATAATAGCCATATATATACAACGACAAGATTCTTCAGCAGGATTTCTTTCGGAGCACATGAAGGGACGAAAACACTTGACGATTTAATCTCCAATCTTTCTGTCCCTGATGTTAAGTACAGCATTGTGTTGATTGCTGATGTGGCAGTAAGTGTCGTACTGTCTTGTGAACTGATATGTTTTTTGTCTGCACAATAAAACATAAGATTTGCACTGATTAACTTTGTACAGAGTTTTCCCAACAAGTGGTGATTAATTAGGATGTATACCCATAACAGTAAGTTTATTATCACCGATAACCTATAAGCTTTTGCGAGAAGATGATATTTGAGGATAAAATAACCCTAATGTCTATATAAACAATCATCACTTTAGACGGGTTCATCACGCACGATATATATTAAATAACTCATGTTTCTCTGTATCATATTTTTACCTCTACAATTGGAATTAAACTCGCTATAAGATGTGACGTCATATATATACTTCAGTGTTATCGATGTGACAGACACAAAAGTTGTTCAATATTCAGAGTGGACCTGCCAATTAATCAAGAAGATAATATTTAATCGTAACATTATATTAATCAGAAAACCATTAAATATTATATGTATTACCATTTTATTGAAAAGAAACTGTCTTTCAAAACGACAGTCAGATTTTGGCCGATGACCACGTGAATTTTCCAATACGTCATATATTGATAACGGCGTTAAACGTTATACCAAGATTACAACTATTGCTGACTAACTTACTCTGGAAATATGGTTAGGTTTTAATTCATTCAGGTCCCTTCAAATCAATGTAAACTTACTCTCAGAGTGTTAGAAACATTGTTTTAGTAATAAATATTTATTACATATAAGTTTCTTACATCAACAAAGTATTTACATTACAAATGCTGTACTGGTTTTGTTATGACATAAGTATAAAAGGAATTGTTATATTATTGGTTGTTTATAGATGTTTCTTGCGTATAAATAGTACATATTTGAAATTAATAAATACTTTTTGAGTAAAAGTGATTTTATGACCTTTGCTATTTATCAGAATAAAGGTTTTCATAATTTTACTGTATATAAGTATATTATCTTTCGTAATATTTAAGTTATAAAAGTATTAGGTTTTTTATGTTGTTTTTTTTTAGATATATTGAAGGTTTTGTCATGAGTGTTTTATACATGTATAGGCAGTACGGCAATTTCTTTGTTCATTGTCTTTATGTATGAAATTATTGTTGTTTTATATATTATATTTATATGTTAGAAAAAATATATCTGATAATTGTATTTATTCATTTTTATTTAATTTATCAATTAATCTAAGTGTATTGTAGGGTTGGTTATGTAAAAGTATTGAGAATTGTGTTATGTTTACTGTGTATCAGTATACAAGCTTTAATTGTGTATAATGTATTTAAGAACGAAGGATTTCCGTTTATTGAATGCGAGGATAATTTTCATTATGGTACTTTAACATAATTATAAAAGTTTTGTATGTTTGCTGTGTTTATTTATTTTATTTTGTTTGTTTATTGCGTGTTGGTATAATTTCTTAGCATGTGTATTGCATATAAATATTAAGAAAAATGTATATATATATTTAACGACTTGTTATCTGTATTCGTTAGTATTAAGTGATGTTACTCAGTATAGCGGATCATTGTATATGTATGGTTTTGCTATATTTGCACACAGATATAAATGTTTTTAGAGCTTATGCATGTAAATAAATGTTCTTGTAATGTTTCCAGCATACATTTTTATATCCTCATTATAAATAAGTATTTCGTGTTTTATTATATTTAAAGTATATATTATGTAAAACGTATTTCATTATATCTTTATTGAATAAAAGTACACGAGTTCGTGATTTTTATTATTTTGTAATCATTAAGGTGTTTTCTGTTAAAGTTTTTATATGTAAAGAGGATAATTGCCCATCGCTACAACAACACCTCCTTATTTGAGGAAGGGGTAATGGTGTAAATAGTTAGAGCTATGGATATTTCTCGACTAGGCGATGTGGTGCCATATATCGTGAGTTCGAGGCCCTAACAGGACACGAGAGAAAAAATGCCTTTCTTTGTGAGTTGTATTTCTGAGTTCGGTATCAAATATATACATAATATATCATTTACATTTTAGTCAATGCTGATAGGATGTTTAAGATGTCGTAATTGTACATTAATTTTTAACATAATGTTAATTAGTATTAAGGTCTTTTTAATAAAGTGGTATGTCAGTATTGATGATTTGGTTATATTTTATATACATTTGTATAATTGTTTTAATTTGATATGATTAAATGTGTATATGTTCGTTGTTAATTTATTGTATATTAGTATTTGTTTTTGTTATATTTATTTGGATCAGTGTCAATGGTTTTGTTAATTATATATTAGTATTACTTGCTTTGTGACGTCCATTATAACTATGGATTCATGTATTTTGTTGTTTAAAAATATAGGTGTTTTTGTTGTTTATTGTGCATAAGTATCACTATTTAGTGTTATGTTAAGTTTTGTAAGTATCATTGGTTTCCCTATGTTTATTGTACATTAGTATTGATGTTATGTCTATGGTGTATGATTAAAGGAATTGGATTTAAATATTGTAAATATTACATTTGTTGGTATACTTATTACAGGTTTGTATTAAAGTTGTTGTCATATCAATGATGTGTATGTATTGATATTCGTGTGTTCGTCCGTTATAAATACTGTTGTGTTCAAATATGTATTATACTTCAGTATACAAGCCTTTAGGTTCATAGCATATTTGTTATATTGTGTTATAAAACTTTAATTATTTTTAAAGCGAAATTTTAAGTTTATAGTTTTTAATGCTTATTGTACTACTGGCTACTTCGGCTTGTTTTTTTTCTTCTAATATCCATCCATCCATAAAGGCATAATATAATAATTTCTCTCAATAGGCATTACATTTCTGGTTTATGAATTCATTCCAGTTAACGTGGATAGTTTTGTAGGTCTGTTTTGAAACATAATTAAAATTAGTTGTTCCATCACAATTTTAACTATCTTCATAAAATATTTTATTTTCGAACGGAAACGAGTTTTAGTTTGCTTCATTCCGTTATTTTGTATAGATAACCCATTCAAATAACATCTGCGATTCTAATATTCCCTGGGTAAAATAGTTGCTACAAGATTTATGGAATGTATTCTTCAACATTTTATCTTACACTCCCAGAAAAAAAAGCATTTTTATATCCATTCTAATTAGAATATTACTAGTATGACAATTTGCTTCGTTTCTTACAATCATTTACACAATAAATGAAAAACAAATCTTTAAACAGACTTCATTCTGCCTCGCACATGAATCAAAATCTTCCATTTAACAACACATAACCATTACAATAATATAAGATTATGTTTTAATATTATATGGAGAATGTCAATGAATTAAGATATCACTGGTTATAATAATTATCATTTCTATTTTTTATTTTTAAATAATACTTAATTGTATTGTTGTCATATAATTTAATTCATTATATCATAAAGTGTCTTATATGCTGTATTACCTGTAATACAGCATGTTAACCGTTTACAGTGCTAATCCATCACATCACAGTGACCATTCCACAGCATTTAACAGAAGTACTTTATTATGGATCCTAAGAGAAATGAATATAAATAGTTTACGATCGAATGCAATCATGCTCAGATTGCATTAACAACCATAGGACAATATCAAGAAACAAAAAACTACAATATCAAAGAAGTATTTTCAAATACAGTTTATTGTATTTTTTATCAACTTTTGCAGAAAATGAAATATTTGTAACATTGATTTGCAACAGATAAAACAAGCACATATCGAGGTAACAGAACAAAGAACTAGCAGTGATCACCCGGCAGATTTCCATCTAATTTAACTTTAACTGATATTTTTTCTAGTTTTGTATAAAAAAAATAAAAAATGCTTTATTAAATTTCCGAATGAAATATAAAATTGTCATTATTTCTCGAAAGAACTTTACTGAAATTGTAATACATTGTAGTTACATATAAACATTGAAAAGGTTAATATTTTATTAAAGTAGTTTTGGCATCAAGTTAAACTTTACAATTGTTTATGAAAATTTGAAGACAGATGTTAACACAAATTTCTATGTAAACACAATAACACATTTGCAAGAAGCTTTAAAACAAATAAAAACATACAAAGAACGAAACGGAACTGATACGGCTGAGATCGAAGTAAAAAAAGTATACACTCTTATAACAAAAGAATACAATGAAAGACAAACGATACGATTAGAACGTTATACCTGAGGAAAAGACGAATGACGTTACGGTTAGCCAACCAATCAGACGTCAGAGAAGGAAGTGTTTATACAGTTCTAGACACATACCTCCTATAATCGATATCTGCACGGCTCCCATACAATAGTGGTAAATATTAAAGTCTAGTATTGCGTATCTGCTAATCTGTCGCAACCCAAAACACATTTTTAACATAATAATATTGATTAATCTACATTTTAATATCTAACAGTATGAAATAAATTAAATGACTCTTTGTAGCCTAGCAGCTTTAGTTCAGCTACTGACATTTCTGGAATTCACTTGCACTATTTTTTTTAGCACATGTCTCACGCGGTAAACGTTCCTACGGAGACGACACTACTTTCTGCACATTAACAGAGTCTTGACGACACAGTCACCGAATGTACCCGCGGTATGGAGCAGATTAATTCAAACGGTTCTAGTGTTGAGTCCATAGAGTGTAACCATGTAATGTGATCTACTCCAGCGTATTGTCATCCACTCAGTGATATGCTGTAAATCCTACTGGTAACTACCAGCCTTCAGCCATATGATTGTCCAGCACTCGCCGTTATTTGATGTGGTACCGCATGAACCCGGGGTAATCGGCGTACACATCGTCGTGGTCAGAGCACGGGTCGGTGGTACCCGCCATTGTCACTATCAAACCTTTCAATTAGCACTGTCTATAGACTGCCTCTCGCGATTGGCCAGCCGTTTCCTTTCCAAACCATTAAGCATGCGTTCGATGCTTTTGAGTTCACTGTTTGGATTTGCTATTGGAGAAATGTGGCGAGGCATGCGAGACGACAACGGACTACGTGGTCGAATAGGTGAAGGTCGAGAGATTCCCCCAACACTCGAAGAATGGGGTGGAGAGTGAGCACTGATACGGAGGCCCGGCGCCGCAACAGGTGACGTACTCGATACCATGGTGGTGTTAGTCGTAGGTAAGGAGTAAGGGGTGAATCGAGGGCTGCTCCGGGAGGGAAAAATTGGTCCTAGGGACGATGGCGGAGACAGAGCACTATCAGCGTTCATTGACGGACTCAGACTAGAATAACTCGATTGCAACAAATGATGACCAGGAAACGAAAGCTGACCTAATGCAGATAACGCATGCGCACTTGGATGCGTATGAGGTAAATGGCTACTTAAGTCCGTGTGTCCAGAGGTAGGAAGAAATGGCAGTGCTGTCGGAAGTGACGAATTTACAGAAAGCAAATGACTCATTGGGTATGGTAATGAGGATGCCGATGTATTGTACGGATATAGGTATGGAAATATTGGATGCGTCACGGACGGCTGGATGACTGTGACATTTGGAGGACTAGTGTGATCTTTGGTCGAGAAATGACTGTGCTCTTTGATCGACCTGTCAGGAGATTTACAAACGCGGCCTTCAGAACCATAAGGGGATCGTCCTAGCTCTGAATGGGGAGAAGAAAGTCTTTCTTCTGTTGCTGATTTCACAGATGATGTTTCGTGGTCACGTGGTGAGTCACATATAGAGTCACGTGGTGTGGCTAGAGGTGAATGTTGTTCACGTGATAGAAAGTCTTTTTGTTGGGTATGAACAGATGACGTCACGATTGGTTCCGATGATGATGTCGGGGTTGTGTGTCTTTCCGTAGATTTGGATTCTGGAGCAGACGTTACAGCTGATTCGTGTTCACTTGAACTAGAGTCCGACTCCAGAACAGGGGATGGCGAATTTCGCCCGAGTGCCTGTTGTGCGAGGGTCTCTTCCGATCGAAGTCGTTGAGCTTCTGAAACACACAAACAATCTATTTTTTATTTTATAATCAATTTAAAGTATAACTTAAGAATGTTCATTTTCAATCTGAATTCGTTTTACGACCTCTAATTGATTTTTTTTCTGAAACTAGGTGAATTGTCAAAGTGTACAAGTTCAGAGAAGGAGATTAGCAGCGAGGTGGTCCGCTCACATCACACTGTAACACATTACAAACACTCCGATCTGTTTACCTCCGTCTCACACCTTTCGCCATACTCGAAAGAATAGACATCGCCGCCCCTCACGTAAACCCAATTATTCCCCGAGACTGTCTATATAGACACAGTTAAATGAGTTGACAAAGCAAGTGGCCGCCAATTGACAGTGTGTATTGAGAGGAGGTGCCCCATACCCCACGAGTAATACAGCACCTTACAGTCGCCTTTCTCCCCCCGACACCTACAGTGAGCAATGCGCCAGTCTGTTTCAATGGTCGCTTTATCAAAAGATGAAATGTTTTTAAAAAAAAACCCACTTTTAATGATTCCGTTAGATGCCGCTTCGGGGTTTTACAATTTCTTTATTGAAATTTTTGAATCAAGTAATTTCTAGTCTGATCGCTATCAAGTGACACAGGACACCATCTCTTTCTTGTATATTGAAGTGTTAGATGTTATCTTTTTAATGTCTTAATATTGAAAAGTAGAAATGTCTTTATTGCAGTTCATCATTTTAAGGATTTAAGCAAACAGGTGAGATGTCTGCAGGTATACTGTACAGGTGAAATATCTGCAAGTATATTATACCCACCAAGTAATATGCATATATTTACCTGTCCAGGATTCTAACAACATTAAAATTAATTGAACCCTAGCAGTGTTGCTGTCGTTCTACTTTTGTGACTTTTCGTTTTCAGATTAATTTCGCACTATGACAACACTGAAATGTTGATAGGGAGGCCTATACAACGTCGAATTCCGATATAGACGTAGGGTACGAGTTAATAGCTGTTACGTCACATTTGACGCGATAGGTCGAGACATTTAACACCATTGTTGTTGTTTAGTTTCTTATCCACGTTTGTACAAATATCCTGATAAAATGTGTAACGTTCCCGGGAATCTAGCTCCCTGAAAACAGTGTTTGTAAACTTACAGTTAAATTGGTTCATAATTATCATCGATTAAAGGATTCGTCAAGTTTTCGCTAAATATCCAATGTTATCTAAATTAGCCGAGTTCTTTCAGTGGGTCGTGATTAGACGTGATAAGGTTTGTACATGTTTGACGGAGTTATGATAAAATGTAAGTAATCCCCGGCTCACCTAACCGGACACAAACAGACCAAGCTATCGGGTCGGTCATTATCACCCACATTATCCCCTTATACTAAGCAGAAACACTTACGTAGAACCACTCGGTAACTTGACAAATCACGATCTCTACTCCACCTATCTAACGCCTAATCCTATTTTAGGAATTACAAAATATTGCATTTACCGTTACATCAACGACATGGTCGTATCATCAAGAAAACCTCACGGATAACTATTAACTATTATAATAGCATATAAGATGTAGCATAGAGGTCAAACATAGGGGTTAACGTGTAGTCCGTAACAACCAACTTTAAAGTAGTCTGTACGAAGTAGGGAAGCTTTGTCAAACATTTTTCCGGTATTGATGAAAATATATTACGTGCGGTGCGTTTTTTGCGTAACCTGCATATGTAGCTTATTATCCTAAAAATATCACAATATTGTTTTCGACAAAATGTTTTGGCATACTGATATATTTCTCCATAAACCAAACATTCTCATCACATAATGTCTGTAATTAGGTAAACAAACCCGATTATCTCTAAAAATAAATAAACATAATTTCAGTGAAAGAGCTCTATCTTACTCTGATCTAGTGATAGGCCCTACTTTGACGCCGCGGAGTAATTTGTGACTGCAGCGGCTGGCACACAAGGTCTATCGAAATTGAAGTGTACGGCACCAGAGTTGTAATGGAGTTGGAACTTTAAGCTGTTATCGTGTTGTCAAAAAGTGTCGGAGCCCGACAGGGGTAGACAGGACTGTCATGATAAGCACGCCATTCACGAGACAGGAATGCCACACATATCGCCTTCACTGTGCACGTCAAGTGCGAGCGCGGAAGAACATCCGCCTAGACTAAATACTCCCCTAAATGCCGGGACTATTTACCGTGATAGATATGGGAATTCCTATGCCGACGGTGGGTGCAATTTTAAGCGACAGTTCCTACGATCTCTGGCGAATGTCAATTACAAGTAGATATGATTGCGTTACGCGATCAGTGGCGGCTATAATTAAAAGTAAAGGTATCAACATTGGCGGGTCGCACTGTCAACAAGAAAACGACTTTCTCTCCAGATGTATATCTTTTGAATTGCCCATAATTGTCGCCCTGCGTATCTGCCCCGGCAGGGTTTTATCTCTTAACAACATTTCGGCTCCATACCGAAATTACAATTACGTTTGGGATAGCGTAGAAACACTTTCTCGACCGATACACTGCACACTTGTCGGCGACGCCAGACAGAGCAGGTTATCTGGGTGTCCTTTAAACCTTTAAACCCATCATGTCCCGGGGCCCCGGGGTCAGGGGCCGCACACTCATACAAACACAATTACAGAACTTATCTCCTATAATTCCTATAATTGTTTTACTGCACAAATTTTTCAGCAAATAATGTGTTTCTTCTGTGAGTGTCATTAAACATTAAATTTATCAGATGTATGTTGCCTTATTTAGCATAAATGTTCACAACCTTGACTGGTGCAGAAGGAAACCAGACAAAAAGTATAAGAATCTGTTTATGTAGAAGGCTTCGTCTGCATTGGTGAGATTGTTGGCAAACAAAACATCTAAACTGCCTTGTTTACCACAACGTCAGAATTTGAAGCCTTATCACACCACTAAGTCAAATTAAACTGGATATATAATTGTCAAAAAATTAAAGTTTAATTCACGAATGATTTTTTTTGTCTTTCTGCATAAATGCAGACACCTTCGAATAAACATAACATTATTTCTACGTAATAGATTTAAATGTCCAAAAGCTTTCCAATAATTCTCGACAATCTTAATTTTCAATGATATATTAATCAGCCTATGTTAATAAACACTATCTCATAATATGGATATATAAATATCGATTTATTTTTTATGGTTTATTGATTCTAAGATATCTACCCATTAACAAGGAGACTCGAGTAAATCGGGGAGTGCCAGGTTTACGGGGTGCAAATATATGTCCGACTCTTCATATTACTTGATCAATCAGCGAGGCGAGGAGAACGGTTCCTGGCACCTCTGGTTCACAGGGCCCCTTCAATGTTTGCTCAATAAGACATGGTGCTCAGCTCCGCGCCTGTGAGAGGCGCCGCCAGTAATTCGCTATCCCCGCCCATTTATTTACAAATTTACTTAGCGCAATGTGATCTGTTGAATGTATACATACCTTCTATGATTCGAGAGCTCATTGTTGGGACCGATTCCGCATCGTCAAGTCCGTCATCCGGATCATCAACACATATTTCCGCGTCGTCCTCATCCTCGCTATGTATGTCGTCCCTGCGACCGTCCGGTGTGACTGCCGAGGGTTGCTGGGAAGATTGCAACATCAAACGTCTGAAAATAACCACATTAAATCATTATTAAGAGCAAATGGTTTACATAAGGAAGGTCACAGTGAAATGAAGGGTTTGAACTGTTTTCTTTGGTCTTAGCATTTGATTGAAAAGTTTTACACTAAAACGAAAATGGCTGTAAATAAAGCTAGACTTTCGACGAGACATTTCATTGAGGGTCCTTTAGTAGCCATTTTCTGGCTAGCAACCGAGCTAGTTTGAGAGGGTGGCCTTTGTGAGGAGATAAACTCACACAAACTTTGGCACCCCTCGTGACGCTGTGGCCATATTGTCTATGTCCAGTCGCAACCAAAACAGAGTTTGATAGTCCTTCTAATCCCAGTAACTATGTCTAACATTTCTCTATTACACGGGATACATGTTCCGGTCGGGGACGACGAACTGGACAGAGAACAATGTCGGCCCTCCTCTCCCTATTCACACACCGTTGAGTAATGTTGCTGGCACGAGTCGGTCGTCAGCTACCCTTATCAAACCCCATGTACTTGTTACTTCTATTGGCAGTCCTGGAAATTCCTATAGTATTTGTATCTACTCAGTGGGGGAGGATTTCCGGAAGTTATAGGGAGTCATTCGGATAAGGGTATACGGAAGTCGTAGTTCATATTAGGGATTGTAACTTACTTAAGAAGGAAGCCTAATTATGATTTTATTAGGTCTGTTAGTAAAGATTTTAATTTATTTTTTAATAAATATAACATCAGTCTGTTTATTTCCTGTAGAGAAAAACATATTTAGATAGAGAAAATTATACCGTAGCATATAATTTTGATTATGGGTGTTTTTCATAATTTATACCCGTTATAAATAAGTAGGGATACACTGATTACAATAACGGAGGGGATATCACACAACCCCCACATATAGATCCACCCAATCGTCACTCTATTTACAGGTACAGTAGCGACTTGATAGCACCGTTGTAATGATGAGGGGTGTTTCGTCTTCTCGCCTGTCAGCCCGGAGTGAGATGTTAACGGCGCGAGGTGCTGTGAAGTTTATTGTGGTGGTTTTCGGGTATAATTAACAGGGTAGGACGGGTATACAGCTGAGCTGACTAGAGTTTATTAGACAGGATAGTAGCAGGTCTCCACAGGCCAAGTGTATCGGTTACACTGTGGTGGCCTGGAGCTTTACTTCAGTCTCTATCGAAGGCATGTCATCTGACATACAACAAGGTGTGAGTGTCTCCACAATAACTGACAACTATCGCGTTAAATTGAATTGTCACACAGGTTTGTGGTTTGTTTACTCTACCCGTGCCAGTATTGAAAAAACAGTCGAGTTACTGACAAATGCGGGCCTCCCCTGTCCATACCCTCTAGTGCACAAATTAACTCAAGTGTGGTCCCATCCCTGCAAAGAGCCTCTGGTAATATTGACAAATCAATGCAATGTGTGGTCCGTTATTGATAATGTCCTTTTATGGTGTCTGGTTACTCTACCGTTACGTGTCTTTACTTACGGTGATAAAGAGGGGGCGGGCAAAAGGTTACTTACTTTTTCTCTCTCTTTCCGCTTCCGGTATCTCGGAACCCTTTAGCGAAGGGATTATGGTCGATTTTCAGCTGTGTAATCTGAAATATAAATATTGATGTTTTGAATAAACAAATGTAAAATTATTCAAAATATACTCTTTATACTGGAAGCTTATTCCCGTCATATAAAATATATCTGAACCATAACCTTCTATTAGAAACAATAAAAAAATAAGATTACGTGTATTTTTATGGCCTCAAATTCCAGTAACCAACATACTATATCGTATATAAAAGCATTAAAACATGGTAAAATCGTGGCATTTGTGTGAGTTTGACGGTAGAAATAATTCGATATCGTACCTTTTCGTTCTGATAGGCAGTAACTGCTATGTATTCAGTCTCTTTAAACACATACGTCCTAAAAGTGGAGTAGGGTAATTTGAGGATGTCGTTGGCGCGCACCAAATGGAAACGAGGCTGGTACTTGTGCATGGAATTCAGTATCGTCTGAAAAATATTAAAAAAACAACACTTTTAGTAAAATGTTCATGTAAAACTGAGCAGAAGAAAATCGTGTCAAAGTTATTTACCGTTAAAACCAACTATTACAAAGGCAATAAAAAGGCAATCATGGAATTCCATTTGCGGTTTTGTAATAAATCAGACCTGTTATCAAATCTCTGACCCAAGTTCTATTTTTGTTACCCAGATTCATTGTCAAATACTAAATTATGTATTTCCTGAACTATCACACGATCAATCAATAATTAAACAACTCGGGTCTAAAATTAATCCGCTAGGAACCTCAACCACAAGAACAAATACGTGGATTAATTATTAAGACCCGTTCCAGTGGAAAAGAAAACCGTTTCCGAAGTTCAAAAGTGCATACGACCTTATAAATGTAATGAACAAAGCGCGAGCTTAGATCGTGATTCCGGGCGAGCACCTGAACAGGTAAAAAACACCCCACCATCTCCTGAGATACGGTATCATACATCTATTAAACAGATCTATACGACATTCCTTTTGAACCCACTATTTTATCATTTCAATTATTTACTTTCAGCGTTATGGTACAACTGTAAACAAAAACACTAGTGCAGGTGTTATACACCATAACACTTGTGTGGGCAAATTAAATAAAATCTTTAAGCAGGCCTACCTGTGATCAAAAATTGAAATCGTACAGTCATGTCATTAGACACTAAAAAACTCAAAGATGTAAGAAATGAAACAAACTGTCTTGACTGAGAGAAAAAAAAAGAGAAATCAAAGTCTAACAGTCAACCCATATACAATTACGGTTTCAATTAGCAGTGTTTTTGGTTGTATCGGAGATTTGAGAGCGCCAGACAGGGTGTTATCTGTCCAGGTTATCTTAGACCCTATGCTGCGGGACAGGGCCACGCTCGGTGTTCAAAGGTGATTGTTTATTCAAGGTGATGCAGTTTGCACCTGTGTTTCTTAATTAATTACATCACACATGTAGCCAGCTAGCAACATACAATTAAGTGCCGCAAGAAAATATTATCACAGTCCATATGTATAATGGTCTTTGTTGCCATCGAGTCCCAATGCTGGTGGCCACGTTCGAGACCACGGCCTCGAGACTATTTATTCTCTCCCATACATTATTTGTCATCCGAAGCCCCCCCAGGATTTCAGTCAGGAGTGGACAGAACTTTTATTTTCATTTGCATCCAAGTGTTTTCTCTCACAAAAAGACCAATCTGTGATCGATCTTAATCAAATATATACTATGGCGATCTGGGTCTGCAATGTGTTAGTGCCACCAGAAAACACAGTAGTTCGTTGTCTACGCCAGTAGCAGGATTAATCCAACGACACGAAAATATAACCTGACGAAAGCTATACAAACTAACATGTCAGGCGAATGACCTACATTATCACAGGTCGGGATACTCCGCGAACCATTACTTTAAATTCTTTGATGAAAATATATTTATTGACTTTATTGCTGATATTTAGATAAACAAGTACATGAAATATACTTCAGTAACAACTTGATAAGAAGCTTCCTGTTCATAGGAATCGAATATACAAATATAAGAATATTTTATTCAATAGTAGCTATTATTTTCTTTCGTCCGGATGAAATAATGACCTCCTGGCAACAATATGGGTACATGCATTATGTTTAAATCAAATTGAGAACGAGAATTTTCTAAAAAAAATAAAATAATTTTAAAGCGCTTTAGACTAATTTTAAAAATTATATATAGGGCGCTATATAAATGTTGTAAATCATTATTATTATTATTATAATTACGACTTGTACAGTACATATCAAACCCTGTTATTATATCATTGTCTCTGATTGCCAAAGTCTTAATCAACAATAGATATATGTCCTGTACCTATTAGGGGTTTATGTTTAAACCTGTGCTATATAAGTTAAATGATATTAACGACAGCGTTACAAGTGTTCGCCGTACGTACATGCTAGTCTGTTTACGACATGCGTCAGGCCGTATCAGGGATATGTCGTCACAATTTGTTCGTAGAAATATATTTGATCACGGTGCCAATAAATGTGTCATTGCTTTGCAATAAAAATCAATGTAATCCGGATCTCCTCCTGCCGCACAAGTAATATCAACCTTTTGAATGTCCTTTCTCAAAAAAGATACACAATTCAACGGGTTACAAAAATTAACGGTAACATCATTCAACGTAATTGCAAATTAATCTAGGTTTGTCAGTTAATTTTAATATGTTGCTAGGGTTTTTAAAGCTCATGTGCACAATTATAATCACTATGTTCGTGTCTAGATTAGCATTACCACAAAACTGTAACTCTATGTCTAGATTGTCTAGATTTAGAATAAATTTTGAAAGTATTTCATTTAATATGATGAAACTTCAACCATTTAAAACAAATTCTAGTAAATCTAAATGCCTTATTTTGAATCACACTATAGCACGTTATGGTTTGATTTGTTAACAAAATTGATACAGTCTTAATCAATTTTTAAAAATATTGATTTAAAAAAAAACCTTTTTAAATCCATAGCTTTTAATTTGCCACGTTTTGATGTATTGTTTTCCCGACTCTTTTTTTGTTTAACACAGTCGTGTGGTGTGTTGTCGGCTGTCCGTATATTGGTTCGACCGCCGTTCCATTTTGCTTTAGTCGCTCCCTGCTCACATCGCATGATAGCTGATTAAAGCTGACAATACCCTGGAGCAAGAATTGGATAGGGCTGTCTGACAAAGGCTCGGGCTGAGTTTGAGCAATAGATATACAGCCTTAGACTTAAGGGCTAGGCATGAAACGCTTAAATACGTATTCAATATTTACCTAATAGTTATTTAATATAAAAAGAAAAGAAGTATTTCATTACTTTCTAAATGGTTTCACAGATGACTGAAGCTATAATCTCTGTTCAAAATTTGTAATAATATTTTACGCAAGAACAAATATAGAGCAAGGGAAAATGAATCTTGAATATCGGTTCAAGTTGACCATGCGTGAGCGTTTGAGTGTTGGTGAACAATTAGGCACTCGCCATGGCGCCGTATGACTAAAGGCGGCCAATCCACACTCAGAATCATAGAACAGAACTGTTCTAAAGGAGAGATGAAACGACGAGCGAATGAGGTCTAAATCAGCCCTAAAACACTCAGACACCAGACGTTGTTTTTGTACACTTATAGAAAGGATTCTGTCAAAAACTTTCGTCAAAATACCACTTTGTTTCCGAGTTTTTGAACAAAAATAAAACAAAATGATATTCAATTTCATTTGTATTATTTTGTAGCGTTCAATGTAATAAAGTCACGAAATTGCATCATTTAATAAACAGACACCTAGAACAACGATCAATTATTTTTAATAAATTATTTTCGGAATATTTCCAGATCAATTGATGATCTCCTGAAACACCTTTCAAAGGGCGTCAAAGGAACGTTTGTTCCATGGCTGCCGGATTTATATTTGATGCCGAGTGTTATTAAATCAGAAAATAGCATTCGGTTTCGTTTTAAGATGCTGAAGTCTGACCGGTAAAATGTTCCTCGTCGTCTGACCGTCTGAGCTGGTCTTCCAGGACAACGTCCCGTTATAACCGCTGCTGAAACGCAGCCTTTCTTCCTGTACCAAATAATTGCACTACTACCAGAGCAGGGAGATCTAACATCGGCCACTCTCGAAAGTAATGCTTATGTAATTTTGTTTTCAAACAATAACACTTTACCTAGCTGTTTGGAACCTTGGGCATACATAGAAAACAGGATGTACAATCTAGTAATACACAGTTTACTGAACATTCGATATATAACACAGCTTACTGAACTTTCGAGATATAACACAGATGACAGAATATCCGATGTCCGACACAGATGACAGAACATTTGATATCGGACACAGATGACTGAGCATCCGATATCGAAAATGATGTTTTGTAACATATAGATTTATAACAAATGAATCATTAACCCTGGCAAACTTATGCAAAGAAAAACCTTTGTGAAGACAAACATATTTAAATATATCGCAAAGCCATACAATGTGTCTGCATAGGCGGGAATACTGCACAACTACAGTCAACTTATCTCTAGTGAAAATAAACATATTTCTCGGTTACAAATTAAAATTTTACATTATCGATAGAAAAACAACCAGTTGGTCATAAGAACCTAATTTTATTAAATGAATGTGGTATGTGACACGGAGAATTAGATTAGAATTAGGAATCGCTATCTAAGTCCGACGTGACGCTAACTGAATAGGAAACCCGCTATTGGTTCCTACAATTTTAACAATAAAATTCCTATTTGTTTTTTAACAAAGCTCGACCATCTGCCTGGTCACTGGATATTCACAAGGACCACCCAGCCAATGACTATAGACGGCTGACCAGTCTGTGTTACTGTGGCCAATCTTGACCAGAGGCCACCCGATTCTGGACAATAGGCCGTCATTATTCCTATTGACGGACTCATTGATGCAGTTCCTCCCTCCCTATCCAGTGTCTCCACAGAGCCAATCCTTTGTAAAGCTGGCCAATTACAGGAGTTCTCCATATCAATGACTCGTCTCCCCAAGGTCTGGTCATAAAGGCATCGAATTTATGTATTGAAATTATACTTTCTATATCAGTTTATAATAAAAAAATAAAATTCGTTATCGATTATATATCGAAATTCTACATCACTTCATGTTCGATATAGGCCTTTACACTATGAATTTTACAGAAATTAGTTAACCATTTTTTTTTCTGAAACTGCACATGCTTTAAAAAATTATATGTACACCATTTTCTTTAACAATATTTATCCAACAGCCCATAATCCAAGATTATTTTGCAAGTAAATATGATAATACCACAGGTGATTAGATCATTAACACACAGTCATTTTATATAGTATCTGAAAGGTATTAATTCATCATATATATTATATTTCGGAATTACTAGAATTGTAATAAATTTACATTTACCTTTTATTCCTATTTAAAGAAATTATACCTTTGTTATACTGGTATTTATGATAGAAGTTTAATTTCATGATGGTTTTTTTTTTTTTATAAATGCATAACACTATACTAGTGTGATGCATACATTAAGAATGCATTGTAATGCATGTAAATTATAACAAATACTATTTTATCAATCAAGTACATGTTAAAATGTATAATTTTACTCTAGGTGTATAAATAATTATAAAACAGGTATATACAATGTATATTATAAATGTAGAATGTCAATACACTGGAATAAATCATAGATCTTTATTTTATCAAATAGGAATTAAATGTAAATGATTAATAAATAGTTCCTTAAACAGTTATAAACTTAATGTATATATGTTATTACTACAGGTATAAATTATAAATATGTACCTGGACATTTATACAAGTATAACTGTTTATTCATAAATTTACAATTCATACCTGTATAGTGAATTTCACAATATGTTCCACATTTGATATACAGATATTTTCCTCTGCTTCATTTGGTACATTGAAAATTAAATTATTTACTACTTGTGAAATAAAATTCTACATGTTTTAACATAGAGATATTCTAAACGATATTTAACATAATAATCCTGTATTATTTATGCTGAGATATTTGTCCTGTTAGCAATTTAAAGTGTTTTGAAATAAATAAAATCTACATAACCTGCAGGATTTAATATAAATCCCAACCACAAATCATCTAATTATAGTTTAAGATCAGCTTCACACTACATCGGCTCTTATTTATTTTTTTATAATAAGTTATCCCCCTGATAATTAATATAAAACTTTTTATTTGTTCTGTGTAATTATGTTTGTTAATTTGTTTTTTAGATAAGTAAACAGCTATACATGTGATATATACTCATTGAATCTTCAATTTCTATCATGCTTTTAATAGAAAGGAGACAAAGTTGATAACATATCAAAGGATAGAATTAAATTCAAAATAAAATGATAATTACCACAGCTGATTAATTTTCAGTTAACAAATTAAATTATCATTAAATAATTTTCTGTCTTTTTTTTTATTATTGAATTTACTTTAATAAATTCAGTGTACTTGTTCAGGGATGTCCTGTCCTGAGATGTCCTACACATCCCTGACTTGTTTAAACTATATTTTGATGATAATTTCTAATACTAGCAATACAATACAGATCAATCTGGAGGATATTGTTTTTAGACATTGTACTTTTATTACACTTGTAAGCTAGTCAATTGATTTTCCTTATATGTATCCTAGCTGTCGTTTATTAGTCTGTGCTGTGATCGTTGTATACACGTCTGTGGTGTGTATGAGGCGATTCAGAGCTGCAGATATTGATAGAACGAATGGGTGTAATATTAATATTACAAAACTTGACCTGTCACCCCGGAACCTGTCGTTATATTTGACGTAAGCGACCTGTCCGTCGTTAGTCACACATTGTTCCGAAGTGTTGTTCACCAGTCTGGCTGGCGACTTTTCGGACAGATCTGACCGTTGGCCAGTGCCACCCTACTACATCAAAACACCTACAGTCCTGAGCTATGACTTGGATGTCGGATTTAGGACCTAATCCGGTCAGTTCTGAGGGCTACATCATTACCTAGCAGACCAGTACACATACAAACAGGACAGGTGGCACGCAGTACACTGCACACATAGAGCTGTATGTTAATTACTCTGGAGGGATCCTAAATCAGGGGGGGTTATGTCATCAAATATGTATCACTGCCTAAAGTTAGAGCACGCCTCCTAACTACACCAGAGCAGTAGTGGAGAGTTTATAATGTCAACTTAGCCAGATATAATATTGATATATCGGTTGGTTATACTAAATCATTTTTGAAGCTACAGATAGAAAAAAAGAGAGAAAACAAGAAGATGAAATTGATGTTTAGATTGAAGAGTACCAGCATTTGTAAGAAAAGCTGTTAAAACATATAATAATTTATTACTATTAAATTATGATGATCATTCGATGCACAAGTACTAGATGATACTGAACTAGTTGTTAGAATTATTCTGTATAAAGTAAGGGATCAATTTATATCAATTAAATACAGTCGTGCAATACTATATACATGTAATTTGACCCAGTTGTGTCCACTCTGATCTGGTCCTGTTTTGTGTTTGGTGTAGGCCCCGGGGTCCTCACATGTCATATATTACTTAGTTAATTGAATTATTCTGACACATACTCAGCATATTTCAAAAGGTTTTTATCGCCTACTGGACAAAGACGTTATTGTTTCTCGGTGAATATTGATACCCAGCACAAGGTGATTGTGTGCAATCACACAAGTTTGAGGTTTTGTCGTTTGAACGACAGCCCTGGCACCTACTCCGGCGATAAAATCTCCAGAAACCTTTTGCTGGTTTTCCATTCACATTTCCTTGTAAAACCTCAAAATTCTTTTCTTACTTTAAATTTTCTTTTTGCACGGAAGGAATTTAACCATTTCGTGAAAGGAATTTCTGGATTCGTGTTCTCTAGTCCGTGTCCTGCCCCTCCAGTAAGAGGCCTGCAATATCAGTTAATATCCTACCCTAACTCATTAGTGTAGGTATCACACTTAATCATAATCAAAAGGATATTTCAATAGACTTATTAAGAGTGGTGTTTTTATATCTGACGGGTTTATTCCCCGGAAGCTGTGAGTTAATTACATCATCACAGCTTGATGTAGTTCTATCTCCTTTTTTTTCTGGCAGAGTCTAAATTTCAAAGCCGGGCTATCCATTCCGGAAAAATTGTCACTCTCGATATGTGTAAATATGAATATTTTCTTTGATCCGGACATAATTGGGACCAGATGCTCACATTAAAACAGAGACGGCGAGTAATTTGGGAAGGGAAGTGGAGAAAGTGCCCGTTTTCTGTTCGATCACGATCTGCTGGTGATAACTGGAAATACTGAGACAAAGAACGGGGTGTTGGATATGTATCGTCTCATCTCCGCCATTACACAACCCGTCCCGCGGCGGACCACATCAATTCCTTGTTACTGACATATTAAAACTAATTTTCCGGCAATATGAGATAAAAAAAAACTTCTTATTTAATTCTAACACATCACTCTAAATGAAATTTCGCGTTGATCATTAGGAGTGGAAACTGTTTACACGAGCCTCCTCGGCGAGGTGTAAAACGGTATCGGTTGGTGCCAGATGCAGCTGTTTGTTGGCTTTATCACTGACCTAACGCCAATAATTACATTAGTCTGCTGTTGTGTGAGCAGTCACACACATAAAATACCCCTCGGATGGCCTCAGTGTTATAATTGCGGACATTGCGACACCTTACTCCGACTCCAACATTACAGTGACCAGTACTCGGCTTTCCTCGCCAGTAACACGCAACATCACAACCAAACACATGTTCCGTTCACACCACGCCGACAGTTATATGCAGATTCCCATTGATTTTAAGTTGTAGTTAATTACTTTTCTTTTGAATTATAATTAGTTGTGGGCAGGTGGGCGATGTTTGCCGGCAAGAGCTATGAATATTCAGTGTATTTAGTGACAAGTCTAGCTAATCAAGGACGATCTATGTTTCCACTAGCACCTCTCCATCACCGACTCTCAACCATATCACACAAAATCTCCACACACAATCCTATCGTGTTTTTTTTTACACTTTCAACTGGTGAAAATGGCATTATTATATTGACATAATAATGAATAATTTTCATTAGAGAGGCCCATGATAGGACTTTCACAACACACTGAAACCTTTCTTGAACTCCAGCATAGAGAGGCAATGTATTTCATATTAAACTTTTGAGAGTAAAATTGACTACTTCTATATGGGAATCAATAAGAAAAATAAACCCTGCCCAATAAGTCTGGGTTTATAAACTTTATATCGTACGGAAAGTGTTCACACTAACACCAGAATGGTTTACACAAGCTGGTAGTTTCTCCTCTCCCTCTCTCTCTTTCTCTATATATAAATTGACTGCTTTATTTCTTAATAAAATACTGTTTTAGTTAAAACGATTCATATTAAGACTATATGAAAAATCGTTTTTGTTCTAGAGACCAAACTGCACAGATAAGTTTGAGTTCTACTGAACCAGTCCTGCCTATATACTTTGTGTTCTGGGTGATAGAGGGTTTCTATGTTGTTATATGGCCTTTCTCGCACGAAAACTGAGGAAAGCAACTTGTCTGAGGTGTTTGTTGAGGAGACTGGCGTGTGATGGCCAGTTTGATGGCTGGGTGTACGCTTTGAAGTCCAGTTATCCTAGTTTGCATCTGAACAATCTCGGGTTCTATCAAGCGGTCTAAAGTGTTACATGGCTAGTATACAGGACCAAACTCGATCCGGCTTTCTCTCCCCAGTACTTTTACATAAGTCTCATTACGGTTCTTAGTCCTTGTACACAAAGGCAGGTTTGGAGTACACATGACTTCCGAGTGGAGAGGAATGTACGGAGATTGGACTGCTGTTAAAAGCCTAACCTCACCCGTGCACCATCTGCATCCATTCACCCATTCTCGGGCGTTATCTAACGAGGGCGTTAATTGGTCTACAAGTACTATCACACTCAAATGGAATAAAGAGACACTAATTTGTGGCCTTTCAAACATTAAACGGTATTGCACTAGAGCCAATTGATTCAAGTGTAGTTGCCTTATTAAGTTTTTATTTTCAGATTTAATAATTCAAAAAGAAATACTACATTTTATTTTCACAAAAGCTTCCGACAACCCGAACTAACCATAAAAGGCTGACCATAAATATGTCCTTAATTAACTTAATTAAAAAATAATATAAAGATTGACTTACTGTACTTACAAACCCATGTTTGTCGGAGATGTTATTGCTGAGTTTGAGTTTGTGAAAAGAAACGACTTTTTGCATCCACTGTTCACCGGTACTTGGGGAGTCGGGATGGATGTACATCCGTTTGGGCATTTCCGGGTCCGCTTTTCCGGCCACCATCCAGCGGGAGTTGTGGAACTTGTAGCGACAGTCGTCCACGGAGGAGATGTCCATTAATAGGATGTACTTGGCTCGCTTGTCCAAGCCTGATACTCGCACCTTAAACGGGGGAAACATCCGCCTAAACAGAACCAAAAAAACGTCATAAGATATTGTCATGTGATGTGTCCTGGACACTTGTTCAAAACAATTTACCTGGTTTGTGGTAACTAATTTGTTTTTATTATATGTTACCAGAAATGATTTATAAAACTTATATGAAGACTCAGAAAATTAAATTCAGTTTATTAGGCAAATATCATTATTTACCACAAATATATGTAGAGACTATACAATATTTAATCTGTTATCACACTCAATTTTCAATTAACTAGTGTGGGAAGGCAGGCAAAATTGTTCTTTAGTAAAATATGTTTACAATGGTTATGTATAGACAGTGGGTCAGATTGTAACAGTGCTTATTTAAAATGAAACTAAAATATCAGGAACTATTATTGAGAGTTAATGTATTAATTTAGCATGAATTTGAGATATGTTAAATTCTGACTTGTGTATTACACACTTGTATGTACAATATCAATAATAACTCAAGAACTTCCCTTAAAGAAATGAAAAGTAATTTTGTTTTGAATTATAAATAAAATATTTGTCCAAGACAACTACGAACTACCACATATTCTATTATTTCTTAATTGGAAATTGTTATATAAAATAGTGATATCTATAATAAATTAAAAGTATTCAGCGCCATAACTTAAAAGCAATTTTCTTAAGGAGACCAATTTTATACTGATTTTCATTAAAATTAAATGGAAACATACATATTTAAAATTAACTAGTTATGCTTGTGTTGAGTGTACTCGGAAGTTGTTGATAGCCCCAATCAGTATATCTGTGACACCAGGGATAGGACATAAGCTCAATTAGCCGGCCAACGGAGTTATCCCGATAACAGGGATGTGACGCTGGGCCCCTCAACCATCCAGTACAGGGAGGGGGATCATCACAGCGACACATATCGCATTATCAAACCCGTGTTTAACAGACAAAATAAACCCCAAATAAATATATAAAAAGCATTGCATAAATAAGCAGTACCAATTAGAGTGTGTTTATGGCGTATACAGACGACGGGCTTACTCAACACAAGTACAGTACATAGAACGCGTATATTAAAGCTAGAGAGAAACACAAATCTAAAGGGAAAACACGGGAATGCGTTTTACAATTACACCCCGTAATAATTATAGAAAGAGAAAATATCATTTCTAGTTACAAGCATATGGCGACAGTGTAATGACATAAGGATAAGACATTACGACCGACAAACAGAGAATTTTATCAAAACCAGCACAGCCTATGTAGTTGACACTAATCTGTTTAAGACGGCGAGAAACGTATCGCCCAGTTTTATTTACGGAAACAGATGAGGTTAATTTAGGCTATAATTGTTATCGTTGGTTGTATGATAAGTGGCCGGGAGGCTGATAAGGAAGGTGTGTGTGTCCATCCCGGGGGCTGGGCCCGGTGATTAGGTAGGTGTGTGGGTTCGTCCCGGGGGACGGGCTCTATGACACGCAATTGATAGGAAATATGATAAATATAAGACAATCTGTCAGCTTTACTCCGGGGATTCTACCCTGATTTACAGTGATTTATTTATCATTATAAAAGCCTGTATGTCATTAGGATTATTAATCTACCCCTTCCGACATTTCAAACAGGTTTGACAAGCATGCTTATATTTCTTAATTGTAGGTCGGTACATAATTAATATTTAATTAGCACTAGCAAGTGAGTATAATAATTTCTGCGACAACCTATGAAAAATAGTTATATTTCTGAGTTAATTTAAATATTTTCTTTTTTAATTTTAATCCGTTAGATAAATTTTGAATTATCTACACGATGTTGTATTCTGGAATTGATTCTTAATTGATAACATGCTATTAACAATTGTTAAATTAGTTAATAAAGACGCAAGAAATGTATCTGTATAACAAATATTAATGTTAACATACACAGATAGAATAATATCTAAATAATAATTATTAATAGTATGATAGCAGAACCCAAACTGAAAGCAGATTAATAGAATTGTAATAAACGGCAATGTAGTCAAACACATCATTATGTTGGATGTTTGTAGGTCATCACTTCGCTTGTATGTGTAGAAATTAAGCATAGTTAATACTAAACATTTAATTTCGTTTGTTTTCCAATTGTTTTTAATTGTACGTAAATGCTACTCATTGCTTGTATTAATGAAATTTTGTATTGTTAAAATTAAATATCTTATTCCGTTTATTTTTGTTTTGTTTAGATGGGCCATGCAGTCCTCGAATATCATCACCTTCTTTTTATTTGATAATTTTAAACATGTTAAAACAAACTGTCTGATGAACTTGTATTGTTTTGATGGGTTATATCCGCATGTGATGCTCGGTAATAGCCTGTACTATATTGTGTACATCCCGGTGTCAGTCGGGACTCGTGTGTGATCGTCGTACAGGACGTACATATCAACATACAAAGTACAAGGTTACACTTTGTTGACAATCCGCGAGTCTCACCGGCGCTGACCGCAGATTATAAGTGGCCACAATTCAAACGATATACTAATAAGTTTTAAAATGTATTAAACTACTCGTTGATGTCAAACACGGTAGGCGACTGTCCCGATAATTGTATGCACTACAGATAAAGGAAATAATTTAATGACGAATGACGTCATAATAAAATACTAAAAAAAGGAAAATATCAATCATGTTTGACAATGTATTAAATATAAGTGCGTTTCATCCTTATTGAAATTTTCTTCTTTGAATTTATAATTTAACTGCAATTCATGTATAAGATACAATCTGTGTAAGGTGTAAACTATCGTATATAATTAATAAATGTTAATAAATAAACACAGAAGAAATGATAATTATAAGCCTGGTGTTAATGATTTGCTGAGAGGTCGCCGTATTTATATGTTATAGGGATATAAATGTCTAAATGTTGTGACACTGAGATGTACCAGACTGGGGCCACCCACACACACACAACCCTCTCCAGGGGCTCCCGTCTACAACACAATCCCGGGGCTCAAACATAAAAAAGATAACAAATATACAAACCTTCCGGATTTTGTGATGACCATTTCCGTGCCGACTTTATGAAACTGTTCCCACATATCCTTTCCTTCTAAGTCCACTTTGGGATCATCCTGGACATCTTGTTCCGGAGGTTCTAAACTCCGAATCGGTCTCGGGTGCATGTGATGAATGAGATCCGCAGGGGTGAGGGGCGACCGGGCGACGGTCTGCTGTAACTTTGGGAGCATGGATGAGGGGATGCCCCCCGGGATGGGGAGGGACATCGAGGACAAGTAATGCTGCTGCAGCAGGGCGCTGTAATCCGCTGGTCTGTGAAGAAGAAATGGATTATACGTCATGGCTAAATCCGGATGTGGTCCTTGGTAAATCATGTTTTTTGGGGAATACACCTGTAATTATTAAATGTTATGACACTGTATGTAAACACGACATCTGACTGTTATAGCGTTCCTAGGTATGTCAGTATCCTCACTTCACCCGGTGTGTGGTCAAATAACACGTTTCGTGTGTTTTAACATACTCCAAGTTAGTACTGAGGTATCGCAGCCTTCAGATATGGCATGTATACGGTAAACTATTTACTATCTTATGTGTAAGGCGCCGTGATTGGTCACTTGACATGTTTCAGAACCAATCGGATCGCCAGGCAAAGTGCAGTTATGACAGGTCCACCTGCGATCAGGCCTCCAGTCGTGTCGGCGCCATCTCGAGCCTCTCCGTAATGTGTAGATCTGTCACGAGGCTCCGCCCCCTTTCCTCTCCTCGCTCTGCCTTGTAACAAGTTTTATCATATATTAAGCCCACATTTACGCTGATAGAAAACACCACTGTACACTCAAATTATCATGCTAACGAATTTCTGTATGTTGCGGTCGGGCATGACGTCTAGTGTTTGTATGGTTACTAAAACGTTCGTCGTTTTCTGTCGAGTTATTCTCGTAAATACCCCGGTGGTCTGTCCATGATTTACGCCTATATTTTAATGATTGACAGGCTGGACCGTGGGATACTGTGACGTCACAGACAAAGATGACTTTATTATATATCGTACGATTTAACAATCATTTTAAGCATATTTTAAAATAAAAAATAACAAAAATGTAGAACAGAACAGGTTGCATTGAAATCTGAAACAAAATCATAAGTCATGCGTTTCTAAGTATAAAATGAATCATCGTAAAATCTAAAAATGAATTTTGAAAGTGGGCGTATCCTGTATGGCGCCTGTTAAATGACAGATGTAAGTGCGAGTGGTTGAGACAGTGACACGAACAGGCGAACGTCACGGGCGCCAGTGGGATGAGGAGCTTACACACACGGGTCGTGCTACCTAGTACGACCCTAACTCTCGAGCACACCGTCTAGATACTCGTGCTATCAACTGGCTTACACCAACCAAACTAAATAAATAAAAACACATCCTATTTACCATCTTTTAACGATGTTTTAAAATGTACTGATATGTGACTATCTTTTTGTAACAATCGGTGAAAGTTTTTTTCTTTGAATCTACTCGCGTGCCGCCGTCGTGAGTCTATCGTTTCAATAATGAAAAATCAAAAGAAATCATGAAGTTAAGCTCTTAAATTAGAGCCACACCTTTCTTCCTGTAATGAAATGATGAGACGGTTTATCAGCTTATACGATGTAAAGCACATATAGAGATAGTTAGAGCTATCGTCCCGCTTTTGATCTTCCCAGGTTTGTATGTAATGTTTAAAATCGTTTAAAATAACAGATGGTTCAATCTTATAGAATTAACACTCTGTTTTGAATAACTTTGGCGATTTACACAGACACACACAGGTTTTCGTCGCCGCCAAAACGCCACTAATATGCCCGAATTCTAGGGATTAGGCGATTTGGTTGATAAAGGTGTTTTCCATGACCATCGTGATATCGCGGGACATGGTGTTGATTAGTCAGGCAGGTATAAACCAATTATCTTACTTACGAAAATAATCGTCCCTGAACCGTTGAAGTGTTAACGCAATTAAAAACTATAGCAAGAAATAGCCTAGGTGTGACTCGGTATTGTGGAGGGATCAGACCCGAGTCTAGATGACTTAGGTCTGGGTGGAGAGGCGCCGCTCGACCACGCTCCTCTATACAAGCTTTATACTTGTTCAATTCGCCACAAAACAAAACAGAGAAAGTTAGGTATTTTGATCAACGGAATCACTTATGGCTGCAAGGGAGGTTTGCTTTACTTATATAACGAGTAGCGGTATGTGGACTACTGGGGATTTAGGATTTACGACCTGGGACCTAGGGGCACATTCACCTACCTACTGGACTAGCGTTAGTCAGACTCTTGTTTTCAGTTATTTTCGTTTGGGAGAAAACGATCGACGAGAGGAAATGTACACTTCCGTCACCGATATTATATATGTTTTCTCTTTTAGATAGCAAAAGACAAGTATAGAACCAAGAACCAGCTGTTAAACAGTGCGACAACATCAACGGAATCCTTCTGTATGCAGAGGAACACTACTATCGTTACCCAACTTTGAATATAGAAAATTGATGGCAAAGCTGAGACTAAGCAACCACAATTTAGAAATTGAGGCTGGTAGATCTAAAAAGATTCCTCGACAATCCCGACTATGTAAATTCTGCATTACTGTAGAAGATGAAATACATTTTATCTTTAAATGCAAAATAAATTTAAATATCCGGACTACGTTTCTTCAAAAAAAATAATTAACCCATCATTGCCTGATCTACAAAATTTAATATTATTATTGTCATCTAATGACCCAAAGCTTTTGCATGAAATAAGCCTCTTTATAAAAAAGTCATTTGAACTGAGGAAGGCAGGCTTGCAGAATGCATAAGTATGTAGTTTTTGCTGTCCATTATACAGTATCAATGTTTGTTTGATGTTTGCAGCTCGATCCTTGTAAATTGGATGTGAAAATGCAATAAAGTTGATTGATTGATTGATTGATTGTATCCAGTCCAATTATTTAGAATAAAGTTAGTAATTGCTCGACGATGTTTGTAGTCACTCATTACTGGTAACTGATTCATATGAAATTTTATCATAAACGTATTAACAGTAGTTGATCGAAATATAGAAAACAATTTTAGTAAATGTAAATTAGTCGCTGATTAGAATTAGAACGTTCATTTTATGTTTGGAAAACAAAATAAGTCTAGTTTAACTAACATACAAAGGTTTAACTAACATACAAAGGTTAAAATAACATATAAAGGTTAAACTTACATACAAAGGTTTAACTAACATACAAAGGTTTAACTAACATACAAAGGTTAAACTAACATACAAAGGTTTAACTAACATACAAAGGTTTAACTAACATACAAAGGTTTAACTAGCATACAAAGGTTAAACTAACATACAAAGGTTTAACTAACATACAAAGGTTTAACTAGCATACAAAGGTTAAACTAACATACAAAGGTTAAACTAACATACAAAGGTTTAACTAACATACAAGGTTAAACTAACATACAAAGCAAAGTAGTAATCTATATTATATTTACATCCATGTAATATTATCCAGAGTAACCATTCCTTAATGTCTGAAGCGGTATAAACACTGATTTGTATATTTTTTTATCTAACAAGTCAAGTCAAATCAAATTTGTTTGTTATATTGTCATATAGCACAATTACATCGTACAAGTATATAGTTACACAGTTTAAAAACATATAGTTACATAGCTGGGATCAATCATCTTAATGTAAAAATATATAGACCATATCATAATTTTGTTAAGAACAGCTATAATACGTAATAAATTGATAAATTAAAATCAACTATCACAGGTTCCAATCCAGAGAGCAGGTGATTGGGACAGCCCCTACCTAACAAGCTCTCTTGATTTGGTACTTACATATCATTATATACCATACTATATAAAAGGTTTCTTTTACATTTACTGCATTAAAACATGATGTGCTTAAAAAATAAAAACAGCAGTGATACATAAAATGAGTAAATACATAAATATATATAGATATAATTTCCAAGTTTTACCGTGTAGTGAAAGTAACAAAAGAGTGATATTCCTGTAGAATCCTTAGAATATATAACTGCCACTTCTTTAGTGTTCAGTTAAGTTCCATTTTGATTTAAACATATTTTATTGCCAATTTTAATTAGCAATGGGATTGGGCACAAGTTGGATAGCTTACACGAAGCCCTTTCCCTGTTAAGTTATAGGTTGGTCAGCTGTTATACACAGCAGTATTGGACGTGTAGAAGGTTTACACACCAGGTCACGGAAGGGAAGGAGAAAGACCCATCTCTCACATTTCTGACCAAAATAATGATATTCCCCACTCGGGACCGCGATCAAAGGTACAGAGGAAGAGGGAGTTTGTCATGTGTTCCTTGTTCTGTCGAGTAAATTGCTAGAACAAAAGCCAGGGACGGACCTAAGGCCGGCTTACAGACTCCGTAACGAACTTTGTGACAGTACTCGGTAGATCAGTTTCCTCTGAATTATGAGAATGTTTGAGAGAATCTGTTTCGGGGTGATACAAAAGACACGTACTGTGTTATGAATATGTATTTTCAGCGCTTTGATCGCCGGTATATATTACCCTTGTTTAGTTCTACTTGGCTTCTGGCACACAGTTTGTTATATTCTTTCATTTGTTACTCAGCAATTTATTAACTTATTTCTTTGTTACTTATTGTTTGTCCAAAATTTCATTCCTTTTATTTATATTGATAGTTAATTTTAAAGTAACCTATTATCTAGTATTCAACTTCATTCATTCATTCATTTTCATTCATTCATTCAGTCATCCAGTCAACGACAGAAGTAACTGTATACTTCAGCTGTACTTTATTTTTGGTTATTACTATGCGGTTATTTTGTAATTGTGATCGTGTTAAATTATTTCATTCTGTATTGTTTTTGGTAATTACTGAACTGTTTTTGTAGCTATTGTTTTTTTTTTTTGTAAATCACTGAATGTTTCAATTGTCAGTCTTTGTAGTAGGTATTTACTGTAGGTTTAAGTTGTTGTATTTGTATTTTGTAATCACTGTATGGTTGAGTTATTGTATTTGTATATTGTAATTATTTTTTGTTTTAGTTGTTGTATGAATGAATGAATATGATAATTGATGTATGTTTGAATGATTGTATTTGCATATAATTACTGTATATTTGATTTTTTTGTATTTGTATATTGAAATAACTGTATGTTTGAGGTATTTGTATATGGTAGTTACGGTATGTTTGAGTTTTTGTATTTATATTAAGCAATGAATGTTTTAGCAAATGTTGTAATGATCCTATAACACATTGCAGGGCTTTATGTAAGTTTGCCAGCAACAGAAATGTGTTATAGGACCATAACAGCATTTGCCTTCTCAATGCATCGCAATGTAAGGATGCAGAGCAAATGTATACATTTGATAATAACTGTATGTGTTAGTTATAGTTGTATAATGTTGATAGCTGTATGTGTGACTTGTTGTATTTGTATTTTGTAATTATTGTACATGTATTTCTTTTTGGAAATAACTGTATTGTTGAGTAATTATATTTGTATTTTAAATAATGTATGGTTGAGTTGTTGGTTTTGTATATGGTAAAGCTGTATATAATTACTGTACGTTTGGGTTTT